GCGCCGAGACACAAGCAGATCATACCATCACCGCATACACCTAGCTATAGGAAGTAGGCGTCTCCCACAAAGTCGTTCTAAGTACGATGATTGCTTTTTCGATTGCTTAAGTACTTCTCATGTTTCTGCAGAATTACCACAGTTTTCTCGTGCTGCTATGTATGTTTGCAAACTGAAAGGTCCTTAGACAAACCAAACGTTTACTCGAAAGTTTTTCGAGGTTGGCTATCTGCCTCTGTGAACTTTCTTTGAATGTAACGACAAAAGAGTTCTAGTTAGGATGTGTGAGCCCAGTGACTGACGAAGGGAAGCATTTGAGTTTAAGCACCTGTTGACCAAATAGACCCACATTCAGATCTCGGGTATTCAGCACCAGGGAGTGGGTTATAGTGGGCTAGTGTGGTCATGCGGATCCCCTTGTCTTCCTCTGTACTAATTATGCCCCGTTGTATTTGTTTGTTGTTGTTGTTGTTGTTTTACCCAGATTACTTCTCTTGTCTCCATGTCATCTCCGATAAGGCGGGAGGCTACTGTACAGGTTCAGGGTCGCAGCGTTAATGTCTTGACCTCCAAGGCCTAGCTGATGATTACTTCAGGTATTACTGAGCCACGGTTAAATTGCCGACCTTATTAAATGATTGTAGCTGCATGCTGACTGACATTTCAGCCCCACAGTTCTGTACTATGAGTAATTCTGGCCCACACTGCTCTGCGTTTGACTACGTACTTCCTGACTACCACAGCATGCAGCACCGCTTTTGAGGGTATTTTAAAGTACTTTCTTGTCCTAGGACTCAACCAGTGATCCATCTTAAGATCCTGACACCGGAAAGTCGAAGGTCTTCTTTCCACAAATTCGAAGTTTTTCATACAAAGCGATATGCACCTCTACGTTGACATATAGCGGATTCCCTAGCTCATTAAACGTCAACGGAAATTATAAAATATATCTTCTATTAGAGAAATTAAAAAGCTTACAATTTGAACTCCCTATTTGCCGCATCGAAATCTCAAGAATTAGAAACAATGTAAAGAAATTACAGTCAGATAAATGTAGACAGAGTCACATCGTGCATTGGTGTTTTAAGGTTAATTAGTCGCATAGTTTGAATGTCTCTTCTGATTGGGACATCGCAATCACCTCGGGTAAGTTATTTCACGCTTCCTCTATCCGGTTAGAGAAACATTATTTCCTTTCATCCAATCATCCTTGAGACACATGTAGTTTAAAAGGATGCTCCGAGAGATTACTTTTCGTGGGAAAAGTCGTCACAGAGAAGGGCGCAGTCCAAACCACGCACGATGTGGAAAGTTTGTATCAAGTCTCCGCGTACCTGTCCATTACTTAGAGGTTATAGATTAAGGTTATTTAGGCAGGTCTCATATAGGAATGCACCTTGGTCTCTTACTAATTTCGTAATCCGCCGCTGCACCCCTTCAAGTAAGTTGCTATCCCGCTGCATCAAGAGTCTCCAGGCTTGGATCGCGTGTGGCCTTATAAACGTACCAAAGATGTACGGAAAGCAGTCTTCATCAAAAAACGGTGAATGCCCACTTGATGACCTACAACATTGAAGTTGCAACTTTAGCCGCCTTACAACATTGCGTAGAAGGCTTTAGATTGTCTGTTATCCAGATGCCGAGATCCTTCTGTATTTCTGGTTGTCCTCGGAGTGACGTTCTGTTCAGATAGTAGGATCGCCTATCAGGGACCTAAATTCGATCTCCCAGATGCAGCAGAGTACATCTGTTAGAATTGAAGGACAGAAGCCATCTACGTGACCACTCGTTTAATCGAAAAAAGATTTTCCTGGAAGTCTGTCTGATCGTGCCAGGTACGTGGCAGTACTCGCTGTCTCTGCCTCTCTCTGTTCACCCCACTCGGACCGACTCCGAGATACTTACTGGTCAAATTTCCTGCTTTATGCCCTGCCCCGTTAATATGTGATTGGAACGGTCTGCACACTATATGTCACTATGTTCTTTCATTAAACCCATAAAGACCCTTGAAGACATTCCCGTTCTCCGTCTGTTTGGCTTACTAGTAAGCTGCCTTTTTCATCGATTGCCACTTTGTCAACCTGCTGTCAACGGCAACAAAATAATTGCGAGAAGTGTCTGTGTGTGCATGCGTGTCAAAGCGGAGCTGACTTGTGGTTTTGACACAGGTCTCGACACCTACTCCAGCTGGCTTATTTCGCTGCATATTTTGGAAAATTTCATAAGTACTTTCGCTATGCCATGCCTATTCCTATTGGCTGGATTGTTCGTGGGACTTGACTGTTTGTTTGGAACCACTTCAGTCTAATTCAAAGCACTAGAATTTT